ACGGCTGAACAGAAAGTTGGTCAAGGGGATTGGCTTCAGCTGTCACTTTTGACAAGTTGCAAATCTGTGCTCACGATGGTGCCTCTCACTGATGATTGAGGATGCACCCAGTCAATGGTCCAATGCTGGAAATCACGAATAACATGGCAGAGGACACGGGACTTGGTACGTTCCGCAAGGTCTCCCTGACGCTCCGACTAAGTTGCGAAAACAAGGTCGAACCAACATTACAAAACTAAAGGATACTGCGACCAAACAGAAGGCCACAGCTTCATATCTACGAACATGTATTTATGATTGTTTAGAGGATCGAGGGAGATAAAGATTGATCGTTTTATTCAAAACGCAGCTTAAACTCCTCAAACAAATCAAACAAATCAAACAAATCAAACAAATCAAACCAATCATACCATCCCTTTCCATTGTTTGTTAAATCCTAGTGAGCCTATAAGGACAGGTTATGACTGGTGATTTTGTAACCCGCCTTACAGGTTTGCAGGCTTAAATCCCAATATGAGATGTATTCACTTAATTTCGTTTACGGTGCGAAGGACTGGTAGAAGAATGTCCCCATAATGATATGAGTAGAGCTGACGTTCCCATTGAATTTAACATAGCCATGCTTTCCTGCTGGGGCTGTTGATAAGACCGATGCGAGGTCGAAACTGCAGTCCACCCTGGACTAGAAAAAATACTTTTGGGCAAGCAAGGCTATGTGAAATTCACTGTAAACGTCAACTCAACTCATATAATTGTAGGAAAATTCTTCTACCAGTGCTTCATCACCTTAAACGAAATTGGATGAATACATCTGATATTACTGATGTAATGGTAGTCTCGAAACAATACTTAATGCGAAAAAATAGAGTATAGTAGTCGCTTGTTATAGCAAATATACGTTTGCTTCATCGACAATCCCACCAAAGAATATGATATGGCAAAAGGCCTAGCCTTACATGAAAATTCACATTTGCCCTATGACCCAGAGGCCCTCGTGACAGTGTAGCCGAGTGATTAGCCTGTCAAGCTCCCATCCTACACTGTCGCGGTTCGACTCCCGCTGAGGGTGTTGATAAGACCGATTCGAGGTCGAAACTACAGTCCACTTCAGCCTGGATGAGAACAATTTTTGGGAAAGCAAGGTTATGTGAAATTCAATGGAAACGTCAGCTCTACTCATATCATTATGGGAACATTCTTCTACCAGTCCTTCATCACCTTAACCGGAATTGCGTGAACCAATACTTAAATGCGGAAAATTTAGTCCCAATATCTTAACCAGAGTGGCTTACGGACTTAGGCAGTCTCGACCATTATTTTTTTCTTGGGCTATTAAGCCTTCATGACCAGAGCCTGAAATTAGGCCTTCTTCATCACTACGATTTAGGATCGCTATTGCTTATGTACGTTAATACACACACTCAAGTAAAAATAGCGTGATCAACATGGAAGGGAATTAGCCAAATAATTATATATCACTCTGTCTTTACATTTTTGCTTTTAGTTTGAGTATTATATGAGGTAGAATAGAGCCGGACAGTCTTTGTGACCCAGTTTTAACTTGAAAAATGTGCAAGAATGACTTCCAACTCTGCTGATGTCGATCATATGATAGACGTAAGCTGGGCCCGTTACACCAAAAACGTGTGAGGATTTTTCGTGGAGTGCGTCAACATGAATGTTATATTCAAGCCATCGACCATCGTCTTCGGGTCAGATCGACCTACTACTCTCTTCAGCATTTACTTTCACGCGAAATGAAAGCCTCCGAACAAAGAACAGTAGAGAATAAAACAGATTTTATGAAAATGAAGGCAAGGTAAAACCAAAGACATGAGGCAAAATGTGAATACTGCCAATAAAAAGGCCAAATCATCTTGACCTTCAGTTAAATGAAGCGTATTTAAAGTGCCGGTTTCTTAGTAGCCCTTATAATACCGTTTTAGTGCCGTGAAATAGATGTGTTGTACAATGGCTTTCTGTGCTTGCTTCACGAGACTATGAAATCAGATTTCGCGGAATTTTTGATCTTCAAGGTTTGAAAATTCTTGCATTAGTACGGCCAGTCCTTTGTCTTTGTTAAGTGCTCCTTGGGATGCATTTTTAAGCACATTCTCTCGCTTTAGTGGTGATTCGTCATAGAGACGAACGATTGGAGTGACCGTCGTCGTACGGCACAGGCACATCAGATTCTTGCTAGATCAACTGATGAAGCTTCTCCAGCCACATCTTTCTCTAAACTGAGAGACTTAAAAGTATATTGGCTTCAATTACCACGTCCACGGTCCTACTCTGGAAATGATGATACATACAATGGACTCCGGACTAGGTGCGTTACTCCAGGTCTTCATGCCAATATGACCGAGTTGCAAAAACAAGGTCAAACAACCTCTATACAACGAAAGGAGACTGCGACCACGCAAAAGGCCACACCATCTTGGTCTTTATACCTTCAATTAGAAAAGTTTATTTCCATACAGACTATTGAGATAGTCAATTAACGCAAGAAACCTCTGAAATTCTGCACAAATTCTCAAATAAATACCAGCAAACGGACTAAAATATGGATACACATCAAGATCCATGCTTAGTAGGGATTTGAAAGTGGAATAAGACCCTCTTAATCGTAGATCAGACTCGTTTCTTGCCCCGTCCCTTCAAAATAAGCTTCTCACCCTGTTCACGTAGCAGCAGCCCCATCTGGGCCTCAATAAAGCCATGATTGTGAGCTTACTCTTCCATTCGGCCATGGCGACTATGGGCCAGTGAAAACAATCGGCCTTGACAACAAACCGTCCTGTATATTGGGCCAATTCAACTGACATGTTTTTTGTTGCTCGCATGTGATGCCTGAAACCGGCTTACTCTGCCACAGTCTCGAAGCTACGCTCTCTATCGCGGCTATTAACATGACTACAGAGACTCGAAAGAACATTTCTATTTTTACTCATACAACTCTCTGTGTGTTTTCGACGCCTAGACCCGACCTATGCATGCCATATCAGGTCTATCAGGTTCACGGCTTTTTTGGCAAAACGACTCGAGAGCCTGTAGAAAAATGGTTTCTTTGGCTAATCGGAGTGTCTAGATAAACACAAATTAATTGTTTTTCCGGCTGGACCGAGGCAATCAGGCCTAAAATGACTTCGGACAGGAAGTCAACTCTGGACAATTCCTAGTCGTTGATATGTCGTCACCAGAATTCAGAGCATAAGGCCTGTTCAAGACAATTCCCGGGAGTCTATTCATTTCTTTTTGTGCTCAGCTACTCTCTGTTCTATACCCGCTAAGACTAACTGATCTACAGACTAATATAAGCCCAGGCTTGTCTGCTTGTCTGCTTGTCTGTGTCACAAATGGAGAATTGGTACGTCTTTTGGCGGCCCATCTGGCCTCAGTCGGTGTTCCCAGGCCAAAGGGCAGAGACGATCCATTCTCTGGTCTGATAAGGCCATCACTTGCAAGTTGGCTCCCGCTTGTTCTGCGAAAGCAGCGATGCCTGTAGGGTCGGGCCACAACTGGTCGAGGTGCATGTTTATGTCAAATATGTACTGTCGGTGGCCAACTCACCAACAAGTGACCGCTTAAATGACGTCTATCGTGAGACCTTGACTGCAGACGACGCGTCCTTCACGGGTCATCGGGTTTGGTTGTCCAGACCCAGACAAAAAAGTCTTGATGTCCACCGGATGCAGCGTCGTCAGGGTTGTAGCAAGGTCGACCAACACTTTTCTCCTCGCCTCTAAATCCCCTCCCTCGAGGATGGGAAAACACGCATGCTGGAGGGCACATGCGCTTGCGTAGATGTGTGCCTCTGTGTCTGAGTTTGCCCTGGCGCTTACGTGAGGGTCTTGTGTGATTCTCGCGTGACTTGACCCGACAATCAACTGTATCAGGATGTGTAGGTGCGTGTGTGTGTGCGTGTGTTTGGAGGTATATACATATTTGAAGTTGATGTAAAGGCAATTTGATTTTATGGGGTTAAGTGATAAAACCGGCTTGCTAACTATGAAGCTCTCTTTTGCAAGCATTGTGACCGGACTTTGGTGTGCTGGCGATTTTCAAGTCCTACTATGTTAGTATGTAGCCCCGACTGCAACATTAGCCTCTACATTCATGCTTCACTGAATTGCCTTGACAATCGAGAATGGTTACAATCGTTTCGAGCAAAGGTCAGGTCGTCGCTACCACTCAGTGTATCATATGGTGGGGGAATCCAACTTGTGTCGATAGTGAGGCCGACCATTATGCTGTTGTGTATGGATTGGGTTGTGTGATTCGGGCTAAATGGTGTAGAAAGAATGTACAGTACGTGAGTGAGGCTAGGGCCTCAGTAACACAGCAGTCTTGTTGTAGACACATTCGGACAAGTTTGA